GTCCCGGTGGGTGTCACCGGTGGGTGTCCCGGTGGGTGTCCCGGTGGGTGCCCCGGTGGGTGCCCCGGTGGGTGTCCCGGTGGGTGTCCCCGGTGGATGCCCCGATGGGTGTCCCGGTGGGTCCCCCCTAGGGCGGATCCCCGCGCTCCCGCCTCCTGCTCTGCTGCGATCGTGCACCAGCGGCAGCCACGGACTCACCTTCCAACTTTAGGACTGTTCTTGGCGGCTGTGGCCTGGGAAATTTGAGTGTTTGACCGGCACCGGTGCTATCTCTCGGGGAGATTTTATATCGGTGGCTTTTTTTCTCCCCTTTCTCTCTCTCTCTTTTTTTTTTTTTTTTTTTTTTTTTTTCCTTCCTCGCTCCCTGCAAACCTTAAAATAAAGAAGACGAAGCCTTTCCCGGGGCTGATTGGGGGGAAGAATGTGAAAGGGCCGCGGTTATAAAGCGCTGCTTGAAGGGGGCTCTCAATGCGTCTCTGAACTTGATCAGATTTTACGTTTCCTGCAGAGAGCCGGCGGCGAGACTGAGACCTGCCCAATAGCCAGACTTGGGGGCTCAGCAAACCTCAGGATATTACAATTACAGCCATCTTTCTTTCTGCCTTTTATTTCCACTCTTGCTCCCCATAGTTCTTTGCAAATGCTTTCCAGAACAGAAAATGAGTGGATTTATAGCGCTGTCTGCAACTGATAATTATTCCAAGGCCGAACGTTTCCCTTGCAAAATAAGAAAGAAAAGAAAAGAAAAGAAAAGAAAAGAAAAGAAAAGAAAAGAAAAGAAAAGAAAAGAAAAGAAAAGAAAAGAAAAGAAAAGAAAAGAAAAGAAAAGAAAAGAAGAAAGAAAGAAAGAAAGAAAGAAAGAAAGAAAGAAAGAAAAAGAAAGAAAGAAAGAAAGAAAGAAAGAAAGAAAGAAAGAAAGAAAGAAAGAAAGAAAGAAAGAAAGAAAGAAAGAAAGAAAGAAAGAGAAAGAGAAAGAAAAGAGACAACGTAAAGAAAAGAAAGGAAGAGAAAAGGAGTAGGAATAAAGCAGCTAGGAGCCGTCGTGCCGGGCGCTGCTCGGCCGCGCTCCGCGGGTCAGCAGGGGGTGGGGGACGGAGCGAGGGGGAGAAAAGGGGGCTGGGCTGGGCCGGCGGGGGGAACCCCGGCGCGGTCACCGTGCGCACCGAGGGCCCGGAGCGGGCTCTCCACGCACGCGGCGGGCGGTTCTGCTCCCGCGTTTAATCAGTAAAGAGAATTAATGGGAAAATAAAACAAATATATAAAATATATACTATTAGATATATATATGTATGCATGTATACATAAATAAACTGTAAACATCCTCGGCTTTAGCGGTTTCTTTAAATTAAATTTTATTTTTGAATGAACGCGGCGGCAATACAGCGGCTTTTCACCTCCCCGCCGCGCCGCCTGGGGCGGGCATCCCGCGCGGCGTGGGGCGGCGCTGGCACGGCACGGAGCCGGGACACGCGTGGGGACAGCGGGCACGGAGCCGGGACACGCGTGGGGACAGCGGGCACGGAGCCGGGACACGCGTGGGGACAGCGGGCACG